CTAATAATCCAACAGTTGCTAGGGTTTCAAGGCAAGTGTATTACTGTTTGGCTGTAAGTATAGATTGCAGTGCAAATCGTACAACAATGCAAATTGCCATTCAACAGTTGCAGTGATATTTACCACAGTAAACCCACCCTTGCCTTGAACCAGTAATGGTCATATCCATTGTCTTGCCACCTTTGGATCTATAGCCATATTGTTCAATCCTAAGGCAGATTTGTAGGTGCAAAGGACATTGAGGGCTCAAAATCTCCCTCCAATGGTTCCTAACTCATAACTCCTTGATATATATAAACTATAAAGCCACTAATGTAGGTAGCAAAACATAAGGTTTTTGGGGAAATTCGTACCTGGATAATTGCATTTACCCATATTCTTTTATTTCCTAGATAAATATGACAATGACCAATATTTTAGCATAAACATCCATTATTAGAAAGGGTAATTTTGTCCCATGCAAGTGTTGGCAACTTTCCCGTAGGTGGGAAATTACTTACCCACCTAGGACCCAGGGAATATAAATTTTCCATGGATTCCATATAAATTTGAAAAAAGAAACATAGGTATGTTGGTCAATGGGAACCAAAATTCCATTGACCAACTTTCCCTGCTCTAAATATCCAAAAGAACGAACAGGCCCTTAGTGCCCCTCTCACAGTGTACATATGTTATCCAGTTGTATAACTTTTCTATATGGTCAAATTGAACGATAGTTTCATGTTGCAATCATTGTACTTAGAATAGGAAACTATATATAGTTTCATGTTGCAGTTAAGTTAGTTTCCTATTCTACATCATGCTTTAAATTTGTCTTAAAATTTAAGTTGTCACTTTGAGTACAATTCATTAATCTATATCTATCTATCTATCTATCTATCTATCTATCTATCTATCTATCTATATATCTATCTATCTATCTATCTATCTATATATCCTTTTTATTAGTAATATTCTTTTTAATATGACTCCTATATTTTTTAAATTTTATTTAGTTTTTACCGTTATTTATAACTTTCTTTATCCAAATGAAATAATCTATTGATTTAATTTATGTGTTCTAGTTTATTTTTCCTTTAAAACAATTGTAAAGCCAGCTATGCTCCATGCAGCAAAGTATTGGATAGTCAAGAAACATGTCCAAAAAGTAAGTAGAAATGTGTATACAAAGATGGATGTATGGAAAAACTAGAAAAATAGGATAAGAAATAAAGTTACTCAAAGTAGTTCCAACAGGTGATAAAATGAGAGAAAGAACTGAAATGGTCTGTTCACATGTATAAAAGACCATCAACAGCAGCTAAATATAAGAAGTAATTTGTTTGAAGTTGGAGCTAGAAGGGCTAGGGGGTAGACAAAAAATGACATAGGTTATGGTAGTAAGAACATTCATAATTTACCAAAGAAATGATTTAAACGTTCATAATTTAACAATGGATGTGACATTAAACAAAATGGAATGGCAGGATGAGATTCATGTAGTTGAACCCATACAAGAGGTTGGATGATCATGATGTTCTAATTTATTTTTTTATATAAACCAACTTATAAGCATTTTAAATAATATTTTTATTGTTTATTGTTTTGAAATGTTCCGTATTTATGCTTCAAAGACTTTTATTGGGCTTGGGTGAGACGATGAGGCTGTGTGCTTTATTGGGTTTTTGGGTAAGGTGGGCTATGTTCTCTCTTGTATTGATTTACCTAATGAAATTTTAGAATGACCATGACCACCTTTCCACCTAAAGTAAACTTAGGTGTCTTAAAAGAAGTGGCTTGTGAGAGTGGGTAAAAAGAGATTAGATTTTTGTTTAATTTTTATGATATTGAATATTTCTTTATTGTTTTCATTTAAACTAAAATAACCATAACTTTTACCTTCGAGATTGACGCGGGCCTTTCCATCATGTGTTGTGGGTGAATATAAGTAGGGATGCAGTATTTACATGTAGTGATTAGATTGGAGTAGTACATGATCAGTTCTCTTTCATTTTACATGTAAGACAGAAACAAAGATGTGTCGGGTTAGAATAGATACTGGGAGAGATTTTTGGGAGTGCACTGTTTGGTTTTATCAGTAAATAACTAATACATTTTTGACTCAGCAGCAAATAATTAATATAATTAGGTTTCATTTAATTTTTTAAAAACATTATATAACTTTTTTTCTTTTCCTTCAGTTAATAGATTAATCTTACGAGGCATACGTTCACCAACTTGAGGTGAAAGCTTGTTATGCTTCACCAATAGGGGTGGCAATTTTTCACCCAACCCGCTGAACATTATCTAACCTATTCAATTCATCCATTTACTTGGTGGGTTGGAAATGGGTTGATCACTCATTGCGCCAATTTAAATGGTTGGGTTGGGTTATAGAAAACCATTGCGTTAACCATTAAAGATATATATAAGTATTAATTTCTTAGTCATTTCTTTTTAATTTTCTTCATTTAAATGAAATAATTTATAATTAATATATTAATTTTCTATTAATTATTGATTAAAATTAGTTTTGTCTCGAATCAACACTCTTCACCCAAATTGACATAAATCCAAATCAACTTGACCCGAGTCTGGACCCGACCCGATCCAGGGCATGCCGATTCAGGTTGACCCAATTCAGAAACGGGTTTGGGTGGGATGGTTTGACCCGGATCTCAGTCCAGTCTAACCCAAAATCTGCCCTGCTTTCTTTGCTTGGTTTGGATTTTTCGGCTCGACCTGTATCTACACAACTCGACCCAAATCCAGACTGGGTTTGATTTACTTCTCTTGACCCGCTTCGGGCCCAAACCCATGCACAAACCTGATATGGGCTGGTCCAAGCCAATTCATCATTAACTGAACTGGTCCAGTCTAGTTCGACCAGTCTGATCTAGATCTAAACAGTTCAATCACTCTTGATGTGATTAGTTTGAAAACAATCCAATTAGATAGTTCAAGTTAGTCTGACCGGTTTAAACCTAAGTGGTTCGGTCAAACCCGAAACCTGGACATAGTCAAATAGCTTCACTGCTTGTGTAAAAATAACATGCATGCAATGTGATTTAAACCTTCACTACTTGTGTAAATAGTAACTACTATTATCACCAAACTATGAGCAACTTATTTGTCAAGAGGGAGTTAGTTTTTTGTTTTAAGTACATAAATATAAGATTAATGAATTTGGGCGGATTGGATTGGGTTAAAAGCGGGTTTGGGTTGAACTCAACCCAATTAATTTTATATAACAGAGTCATTAATGGATTGGTGGGTTAGATGGGTTAGGTTGAAGCTCAACCCAAACCAAATCCAACCCAACCCACCCAATTGCCACCGCTATTCACCAAAGAGACCATTAGGGTACAAATAGTAGGGATGACATTGGGGCCTGTTTAGGGAGGATTTTGTAAAATCCTTCCTAGGCTCTCTCTTTAGACCTTCCAACCATTATCCTCTCCAAAACCTGTATTATGTTGGATTTTCAAAATCTAAATCGTCTCCACACATGAAGATGGAAAACACACTACCCTACCATATCCTTCTTTCATTTGAGGGTGGGGCAGGTTGGGTCAAAAACCCGTATCATAAAACAAGACAATCCATGTTAGCAAGCCTCTCCTTTCCATAAAAGTATTTATCTATTTTCTCTTTTTCTTGTATTTTCATATTTTCTTTTGATTTAAAAGTATAAATAAATAATCATTGTCCTCAAAAATGATTTACGCTGTAATGTGCCATCAATGAAGTTTTACACTATTATCAATATATTATATTATTAGAGAGAGAGAGAGAGAAATATTATATTATTAAAGAGGAACAATTAAGAGTGTGTTCATTTGTGTGTGAGAGAAAGAGAAAGACTGACGTATTTTAGGGGTAATGAAATTCTTACCAAGAGTTTTAAAGAGTAAAGAACTCATGACAAAACCCCTTGAAACTTAATATCAATAAAATAATAAAATACTAATAAACTATTAACAAAACATTTGTAAAATAGTAATAAAATAATAATAATATAATAAAATATTAATAAAAGTAATATAATATAATATAATTAATGTAATGATTAAGTAATAAAATTAATTTTGATATAACTAAAGTAATAATTATATAAATTGATTTTAAAATAATAGGAAAAAATAATAGATTATTAATAAACTAATAAGAAAATAAAATGTAACATAATAATAAAATTTTAAAGTAATAATAAAATAATAATATATTAATAAAATCATAAACCGACTAATACAAAATTAAAAATTTTTAGTTGATTCTGATTCCAACTCCAAATGAACCAAACAACAACAATCAAAATCCAATTTTGATTCCCTACTGAACCAAACATTTGTTGGGAATAGGTGATTCTAATTTGAATTCCCGAGGATTTTGATTCTGATTCTAATTCCCCAAACAATTCACTTTTCCGATTTGTAAAATTTGAAGAAAATTGACGAGAAGTCTCAATAAATTAATAATGCATCTCAAGTCCTAATATTCATCACTTGTTGGTCATCTTCTCCACCACAAATTTCTGGGTCACTGTTCGTGAAGATTCAATTTACCATTTGCTGCAGAGATGAATAAATAAATAACAGTTACACTTTCTGGGAGAACAGTATGGAGTGATGGACATCTTGAGTCCTTTGACAGTGTATTGCACGTAAAGCCCTCCAGTTTCTCATTAATAAATAATATTTGTTTTAAGTTGGGAGATTTTCATACATAGTGTCTCATCTGACGAGAAACAACAAAGTCCTAGTTGGATTGGAGGGTCAGTTCCTCATGAGATGAATTGCCTGGAATCCTGTAGCTTCAGTTTCCTGTTTTGCATTAAAAGTTGATTCCCATACTATCAGAACCACAAATAAATGGACTAGAGACAAAATACTGCCAAATTAATTCTTCGAATTTAATGGGAAGTTAATTCCCATTTATTTTCTTTATGAAGCTCTGTTTAATTCAACACACATTTTCCCTATAAATACACACCATTTGATCCATGCAGTATACACCAGAAAAGCAGCAATGAGTAGTAGCTCTCTCTCCCACGTCCCATCCTCTTCATCATTTTCCTTAGTTTTCCTTCTCTTGTTTTCAGCTCTTCTCCCCCTAAGTTCTGCTTCAGCTGGTCATCAATTCTCAAATGGGCTGTGCAGGTCCAAAAGGTGCAAGGCTCCCCATAAGCACCCTCCACCCCATCAGCTACCAACTGATCATTCACCACCACCATCTCAAACCAGCTCCCCTCCATCAGTATCTCCTTCCTCTCCTCCTCCTAGTAGTTCTTCACCACCACCATCTCCAACTAGCTCCTCTCCAAGCATAACTCCATCTTCCTCTCCAGAAACATCTCCTTCCTCTCCCCCTCCCATTTCTTTATCACCAACTATCTCCCCTCCAAGCATAACTCCATCTTCCCAGCCTCCAAGTGTTGAACAAACACCATCTTCCCCTCCAGAAATATCTCCTTCCTCTCCCCCTCCTAGTACTTCATCACCACCATCATCTCCAGCTAGCTCCCCTCCAAGCATGGATTCATCTTCTCCTCCAAGTATTGAACCAGCAAGACCATCATCTCCATCACCAGCAGGCTTCTCTCCATCAATATCTCCTTCCTCTCCCCCTCCCAATACTTCATCACCACCACAATCACCAACTAGTTCTCCTCCAAACATAACTCCATCTTCCTCTCCAGAAGTATCTCCTTCCTCTCCCCCTCTCAGTACTCAATCACCACAGCTATCACCACCTACTACATCACCAATTTTGTCTCCGAGCACTTCACCAGCTCCCACAACCTACATATCTCCAACTCCATCAGTTAGTACTACTCCAGCTCCTGGACCTGATGGTTCTGTGGTTAATGACCCTCTGAAATCACCACCACCACCACCTCCAAACTCATCTGCTCCCCCACCTGATGATGACGATGACGTCCCGTGCCCCCCACCTCCGAATAGAAAGCTAAAATAAAGATCACAGAGAGCAGTAGCTTTCCTAGAAGCTGTAGCCCCCCACCTCCGAATAGTACTGATCGGATTTTATATGAAAAGTGCAGCCTTCTATCTATGTTAAGACTTTCTTTTGCGAGTCGCTATCTATATTAAGAGTTTAGACTATGTTGTTCCATTGTTGAATGCATTAATGCTAATTCTACGAAACTTGTTTCATGCTAATTCTGCAATGCTTTTTTCTTTTTATCCTACGGAATGTGCTTCTTTGTGGGAACCACATACCACATACGTGCTTGTCTATCTACTGCATTAGAGGCGTTTTCCTTCATTTGTCATCAAATTCAACATGTGTAACACTTGGTAGACTAAACAAATGCGTTTTATTTATTTTTGCTTACTAACTAGACTACAAATCAAACTGATCAGAAGATTCAGAACAATCACTGCAAAATAGATTCAACTAATTTGGTAGTCAAATTAAAATTTTTAAATAATCTATTCTTTTTTGTGTAAATCTAAGCAAGGAAAACGGATTTATTAAAGAATTACAGTGTTACAATAATAATCGTCGGCTACAACCTGTATATAAAATTACATTAATATTTCTATAATTCAACATTCCAGTACTATGGAGCTCTTGTTAATGGAGGACAAGCCAGTAGTTACTGACTTACGAGCTTATAAAGTAATGATAAGAGATCCACGTTGACAGCTACACCATGACGTATCTCTCTCTCTTCTCGTATCTTATGCATCGCAATCGTACCATGTAATCTTTCACACCATTCACGTCACTGTGTATAGTTTATCATCTCTGTCAATGTAACTATATAAATATATTTGATAACCGAGGGAGGAAATCCATCGGGTTACTATCTTATTCTCTCAAGTTTGCACAGTCAGAGCATTAGTTTAATTACAAACCGCTCAGATCCATGGCTGTCCCATTAATGATAAGAATGAAACTTATCAATGAAAGTAAGAAAATAAACTGAAACAAAGAAGAGACTTTGAGATTAATAATGTCGATGGTTATGGTGGCCATCAGACGTGTGATATTTATAGTGAGGATATTTACATACGAACAGAGTTCTACAAATGTTAGGAGCATGTATAGATAAGTTCAGTTACAACAAGATTAGGATAATAGGATGGGGATTATCCTAAGAGGATAGTCATGGATCAGTTCTGATCTTTTTGGATGTGTAATGCAATGGGTTGTGCATCATTATCCTCAATATGCCCCCACAAGTGAAATGGCTTCGAGAAGATGTGAAGCTTGGACTGAAGATGAATGAACCGTGGTGTTAGAAATGCCTTTGTCATGATGTCGACTATTTGGTCCTCTGATGAGATGAACTTGACTAGCAGTTTTTATTTGAGAATTAGATCTCGTAGGAAGTGAAAATCAACTTCCACATGTTGGGTGCCTGCTTGAAACGCTGAGTGAGTAGGTAAGTGTGTGACTCCCACATTGTCGCACCATGCAACTGGAGGAGTTGTAGATGGGAAACCCAAATCAGTTAGGAGTGACTAAATCCAGAGTAATTCAGTCACCAAATTTGCAAGTGCTTGAAACTTTGCTTTTGTGCTTGAACGAGCTACTGTTGCTTGATTCTTTGCACTCCATGCTATAAGATTGGTTCCTAAATACACATAGTATCCCTAGTGGATTTGCAATCAACAGGACATTCGACCCAATCAGCATCACTGAATGCATGCAATTGAAGAGAAGTTGACTTAGTGAAATGAAGACCAACCAATGTGCCCTTGAGATAACGGAGAATCCGTTTTAACTGCAGCCCAATGAGCATTAGTGGGGGCATGAAGAAACCTATAGACATTGTTGACAGAATATGCTATGTCCACACGAGTGATTGTGATGTATTGGAGAGCACCAATGATGCTTCTATACTCTGATGGATCCAGGAGAGCCACACCTTGGAGAGATGACAATTTGCAAGAGGATGCCATGGGGGAAGATATGGGTTTGGCGTCAGCTAGTTTACTTTGCCACAGTAAGTCAAGGATGTAGCGATGCTGCATTAGGACCAATCCTGTAGAAGTTGGATAAGCCTCTATCCCCAAGAACAAGTGAAAATTACCCAAATCCTTTAGTGCGAAGGTTTGAAAGAGAGAGAGGAGATGATACAAGATACATCATGTGGAAAGGATCCTATGATTAAGATATCATCAACATAAATCATAATGAAGACGGTGACCCTATCATGCTTATAAATAAACAACAATGGGTCAGCTTGAGAGCATCGAAAACCAAGGCTAAGAAGAGCAATAATTAGCCGAGAGAACCAAGCCCTTGGAGCTTGTTGTAATCCATACAGAGCTTTGCACAACTTACAGACATGTGTGGACTTTGATGGATCTTCGAACCCTTTAGGTTGCTTTACATAAGTATCCTTAGTGATGAATCCATTCAATAATGCATTGTTAATATCAAGTTGCTTTACATAACTGTGGCCAGATGCAAGATTTAGCCATCAAGTATTACCCTCAATAGTCTTACACTTAACCTCTCAGCCCATAATGGTCAAAACTATCCGACAAGAGAGGACCTCTCCCTTGGCTTCAAGGTACAGTGCTGCACTCTCTACTTACATAGATCCCAGGAATTAAAACATTTTGCAAACATTTTGAAACCATAATATATATATGTATATCTCTATATAAATATATTTTGCAAAAAACAAATTTCAGTATTTGAAATCAACTACCAGCAGTTTAGGTTTCCATCAGAGATAGTGCATTCCCCGATCATTCACTTTGTCCGACAAAGGTTCTCATTGATTTGCATATCAAAGACAACCCAATCTGACACCTAGTGCAGTACCATAATCAAGCCTACGGGTCAAGTGTAACATTTCAATTTTGTTCATCTATTTCCAAGGTCCAGGGCAATACTAGAATTTGGTTCGGTTCAGGGTTTCAAGAAAATTCACACTACATGTATCTCAAGTCTCACCCTGGTAGCTGAGACAAGCCACCCCAACCAACTTGGTGGCATGATAACCTTGCATTTTAATGCCTTAAGGGCATCAATTTAGGGGTATTTTCGGCCTTAGAATAGTCAAGATGGGCCATTTTCCCAGTTAAATGCAATGTTGTAACCTCTAAGGATCTCTATGCAAATTCTAGGGAAAATTGGGAAGTTTTCATGGCTGAAATGCAGATTTTGGGAAACTGGTTAAAGTCTAGTTGAGAGAGGCGGTGTTTTTGTGAAAAACTGAAAGTAGGAGGGCGCCTCCTAACTACTAAACCCAATTTGGCGCCCCTCCTACTGTATTAGCATGCTCCCCATGCCTTAACAAACCCTAGGGCGCCTTTTAACCCATTCTTTTCACTCTTAACAAACCTTAGCCGCCCCTAACTGCTAAATCCTCACCTTCCATCCCTTCTAATCTTCACCATCCATTCTAGGGCACTCTCTTTTTAGCATTCTAACCTTAGGAGCCACCTAACTTCTAATCTTCACCATTCAGCCTTTAGCCATTAAATCTCAACCTTACATAATATTGGGTGCCTTCCCCTTTTTTTCTCAGCCTTAGGATCACCCTAGAACCATCCTAACCCTTCATTCTAAACCCTAGGGCACCAATATTTTTGCTAAAACCCAACTTCCACCCCCTCTTTCTCTCTAATTCCAGTTACATCCACCATTCTCTATAAAAAGGACGCTAGGGGCCCTGGAGAAGGGGTTGGTCAATTCACCCAAGTAAGTAGGAAGGCTAATCTTGAGAAATTCAAGGGTAGAGGAAGAGTAGGACGCCCAGGGAAGAGGAGGCATTCCTACTTACAATTCGCCAACACCACTACTGCCACCTCTGGATTTGAATCCCAACCATTTTTTCTTCAGTTTTAGAATTACTTTCTGTTCTTTAATTTTCGGTTCATTTTTCCTTCCTACAAATTATACTCTTATTAAATTTAATTTGTACTTTATTTCTTTTCTACAGATCTGAAATTCGGCCAGGTAAGACGGAAGGGCTAGCTCGAGAAGTTTGAGGGTCGAAGGAGAGATCCGAAGACTACTACCTCTGATCGGATTCTCAGACATTTTTTATTACATTCCTTTTATTTATTTTTATGCACTTGTTATTCTCAGTACTGTTTGAATTTGGTTTTAATGAATTCCATTTTTTTAATTAATTAATTTTATATTTCTACAACTCCCCTTTGTGTCCTCTCTCCCGAATCTAAGTACGTAATTATTTTTCCACTACTTCTCTATGAATACGACCCATTCTCATCACTTTAATGCGTTAGTAGTTGTTTGAGAATCAGAATAAAATTATAAATGTTTAAACTGGTGTTCCAAAGTGGTTAACGACATGCTCCAGATCACACCATGTTTTTGACGTCGTTGCTGGGGAAGCACGAAGAAAAATTTTTATTTACTTTTTCTGGATTTATTTCATTATTTTTTCTTTTTTGTTTGATTACTTGATCCGTTATCTCAGTTTAATTCTTGTTTCTCTTTGATTCTGCAGGACAGAATAGCGAAAAGTGGGGTACCAAAGCATTGCGGGGCCGTAGGACGGAAAAGAAGAGAAGAGAAATTGGATTGCATTCCAGGTGTAGTCGTTCCATTTTATTTTTAATTTTCTTATTTTTATTTTTGAACTCTTTTTTTGGAAGAATAGTGATTTTTGAATTTTTAATTATTTTTTTTAAATCCAATATATATTTTTAGTATTATTTTGCTTCCATTTTGTTTCTAGGTCTATTCTTCTTTACTTTAATTTCTTGTTCGATTTATTTTGCTTTATTAGGTTTGTGTTTTTCTTTTATTTCAGATTTAAAAAAAAACAAAAAAACAAAAAAAAATCATTTATTTTATTTTGTTTTATTTCTTGCAGCATAATTTTCTTTTGTTTGTTTTATTTTATTTTATTTTTGGTTTAAATTTTAGATTTTTTTTTTATTTTATTTCAGATAAAAAAATAAATAAATAAATAAATTCATTTATTTTATTTTATTTATTTTGCAGCGTATTTTTCTTTCATTAATTTTATTTTCGTATAATTTTTAGATTTATGTTTTTCTTTTATTAAAAAAACGAAAAAAATATAAATAAAAAATTTTTTTAGCATATATTTTTTTGTTTATTTTATTTTGGTTTAATTTTTTTTTTAGATTTGTATTTTTTTCTTTTATTTTATCTATTTCTTGCCTAATTTTCTTTTTGATCATATTATTTTCAGTTTAATTTTTAGATTAGCAATTAGTTTGTTAG